TTCTATGGTAGATTCGCTAGTATCACCAGAAAACTTGGTGAATTTGGGTACTTTTCATCCCCTTGGCAATTCAGTTTGTTGAATATATTCTGACAAAGAGGATGTATAATTTGGTCTACACATACCTAAGTTTACCCCATTTCGTGCCATAATCCTTTCGACTAAGGCTGCTAGGTTATTGTTTCCCACCATATCATTTTGTCGACAACCCTGAAGGATTTCATCAACATCTTGGTTTCGATTTACCAAAACAACCCTTCTCCCTGGTTCCTCCCTAGGGATAGCCTGTTGGGGTCTGGGTGGTTCCTCCCTTCGAATTGGTTGTTGGACTTTGACTTCAGGGTGAATCAAAGATTGGGCCTGGTTTATGGTTGGCTCTTCTTGGAATATGATGCCTTGATTCTCCCTTACCCATGTGGGTTGTGGGGGTGGCTGTCGAACTACTTCTCTAGGCGCACCAAAGAAATCTGCAAGATGCCTTATTTGAGATGCCATCTGTTGGTTTGCTTGGTCACTCTGCAAGTTATTTTGTGTAGTGATTTGAATTAAAGGGTTGAAAATCGTACCCATCTGTTGGGCCAATATGCCCAACATCTCGTGGTTTCTATCGTCCATTTGTTGCCTTATGACTGCTTGTGTATTTGTGGTGATAACAGCTATTTGGATTGGCTGCAAATTGTTTCTAGCCATATGGTTTATCCCAGACCTTGATCCTTGCAATGGTGATAAAGTAGATGTTACGGGACGGGTGTATGTCGACGTATTATTTTGAAATCCCGTCATGTACGAAGTTGGCATGACATATATAGGATCTAATTTTGGGATTGTAAATCCTGGTGGAAAAGTTCTAGACATACCTATTTGAGCTACCATTTGTTGGTTTGCTTGGTCACTCTGCAAGTTAGTTTGTGTAGTGATTTGAATTAAAGGGTTGAAAATCGTACCCATCTGTTGGGCCAATATGCCCAACATCTCGTGGTTTCTATCGTCCATTTGTTGCCTTATGACTGCTTTTGTATTTGTGGTGATAGTAGCTATTTGGATTGGCTGCGAATTGTTTCTAGCCATATGGTTTATCCCAGACCCTGATCCTTGCAATGGTGATAAAGTAGATGTTACGGGACGGGTGTATGTCGATGTATTATTTTGAAATCCCGTCATGAACGAAGTTGGCATGACATATATAGGATCTAATGTTGGGATTGTAAATCCTGGTGGAAAAGTTCTAGACATTCCTATCAAAGGCATGGGTGTTAATGGTGGATTTTGATTGGCCATAGACACAATGGTATGTTCGTTATTGGTGTTTGATGATATAGTTGAAGCGTTTGTATTTTGGGGTATAACTGCAGTGCTTGTTGTCGAAGGGATCGTTGTAGTCCCTTGACTCGCTGTCATAACATTGTTTGTATTCGAAGCGCTGGTATTTCCTCCCACAGGAGGGTGAACTTGTTGCGCATCACTAGTGGGTGGGTTAGCCATTCCCCTAACGTGTTGTCCCTTTGGTCTAGGATTTGTATTGTTGGCTAGTTTTCCACTTCTCAATCTCATGCAATAAAAAATTTAAAACTAAGATGGATAAAGACACAGGTCCCACTGGGCGTGCCAATTTGTTTACCCTCGAATTTTGGTAAACAACCGCTGATCTTCCAAATCCTTTCACGGATCCAGTTACTTGTGAGATCGATCAGATTGATCTCATGACACAAGTGTCTTTATTAATCTTTTAACTTGATTGTTGTATTTAACATGTTTTGTATATGAAGACAAATGGCTTCAAATGTCGAATTAAAATGCATATAAAGTGAAAGTAAAATCACTTCTAAACTTGAAATGGTAAAAACTTAAGTAAATGTTACTGGAAATTCTGCAGAAAGTAAATGCATTTATATTAAATGGGTGTATCATACGTACATCCTTAATAAACTCGTTTCTCTTTAACACTTGGTACTTTGAGTAATTTCTGAGTAATTTGTACAAAGATGTTCATCACCTAAATCGAAATACTAAAGCCACTATTTATACTACTTCGACCCTAACGGTCTTCTACACAAACTAATGCCACGTTTCTATTTGCATGTCTTCAACGAACTCAAAGCCTTCCACGCGTCTTTTCAGATAAGATAAAAATATTTGAATTCGAATCTCCTTCTTATCTTGAGTGCCAATCTCTGAAGACGGTCAAACGAAAAAATGTTTGAAACCTTTGCCACATTTCGAATAACAATCTTTATTCAAAAATTCGAATTGGTAAACCTTTCCAACGAATTTTACTCAATTCGAATCTCAACCTTTATGGCTTCACATAAATAAAGTAGTGGAATATTATGAAGTATATTCAAGTCTAACTTTAAAATCCTTAGTCGAAATTTCCAGCTAACAAAGACCAAGTTAGAAATTAATTCCTTAAACTAGACAGGGCAACTATCTCAACAATCAACAAAAGAATGGTTCCAGATTAATTCCTGAAACAAGACGGGGAAACTATCTTAGATAACAAGCTCAAGTTACTGTGAAGCCTGGATTTCGACCAGATAAAAGTTTAAGTTGCTGCGAAGCCTGGAATACGACCAGATAACAGTTTAACTTCTTCAATTACTGCGAAGCCTGGACCCGACCAGATAGCATTTTAATTTCATCTAAAACACTATGAAGCCTGGATTTCGACCATATAACATTTTAAGTTACTGTGAAGCCTGGAATATGACCAGATAACAGATCAACTTCTCCAATTACTGCAAAGCCTGGATTTGACCAGATAATAACTTAATTTCAATTTACTACAAAGCCTGGAATACGACTAGATAGCAGTTCATTTCAGTAAGTTGTTGCAAAGTCTAGAATCCGACCAAATAACAATTAACTTCTATCCTTTCAAGAAAATTACTGCGAAGCTTGGAATAAGACCAGATGACAGTTAAATTCATTTTTCTGCGAAGCCTAAAATACGACCACATGACAGTTTAATTTCATTTTTCTGCGAAGCCTGGAATTCGACCAGATAATAGATTAATTTCAGTAAGTTGTTGCGAAGCCTGGAATCCGACCAGATAGAAATTAGTTTCATCCTTTCATCTAAGTTGTTGCGAAGCCTGGAATCCGACCAGATAACAGTTTAACACTAAGCAATTTATTACGAAACCTGGAAACCAACCAGATAACAGTTAATTTCATATTCTCTAGTAAGTCGCTGTGAAGCCTGGAATATGACCAAATAACAATCAACTTTATTATCCTTAACGAGTTACTGTGAAGCCTGGATTTCGACCAGATAAAAACTAACTTTCATCTCCCCAGTTAGGAGATAACTCCCCAGTAGAGTAATGGACAACTAAAGCTCCTAGACTCTATTCCCAAAACAGAAATCAACATTCCCCAGCGGAGTCCTTCTCAAACAACAAGAACAAGATTCCCCATAAAGAGATCTCTTATGGCTCTGAGTAAATTGACCCAAGATTTATTCTGATACTTCTTCCAGTTCGAGGTCAGCATTTATTTTGGATGGTGTTATACCCCAATTTTCCCCCCTAAGATCCCTCATCACATTATATAAATCTCATGCATATCATCATTTCCATGGTTATAGGATCAAAGGACTTTTGGCATTAGGGTTTTTCTCTTTGGACTAAGGTTGTTACATTCTTCATGTTGATCCAACTGGTTCTCTCATTATTCTTGGTATGAGATTATGGTTTTGGATCTCAAGCAGCATAGACATCTTCGCTAGCAGGGTTCCTCAAGATAAAAAAATTTCATCATCAGAGTTTTCTTCGAGGAACATGCGCTTTAAGATTCAACTTGTGTACTTGAGACATTATCATATTCACTAAGAATGTCATTGAGCTAGGTTTTGTTCCTATCACCATCTCAAATCTTCTCCATTTGTATGCACTCAAGGTTTCGTCCTCAAGGCTACAAAGATAACAATGGTGTGGATTTGGGTTTACCCCTTGGAAAAGGTTATAAGATGATCTTAAAACATTTGATTCTTCACCACCAAAGGCTCCTTCTTCTCTATATTTTTGGTTCTCCCCATCACATGACATGGTTATGGTTTCTTATAATACCAGTCATTCTAGTCATCTAAGAGACCATGAACTCGGGCATGGAGATTCTACAAGCACCATCTTATTTTTTTCATCATCATCCTTTTATTATGGTTTATTTCCATGAATCATATACCATTCAAGAGGGGTTACTTTGTGATGTTAGGATCACCAGGCATGGCTATCATCAGAAGATATCATCCATGGATAATTAGGGTTTCATTTGATATAATTTTGTCAAACAATAAGGTATTTATTACTTGAATCACAAGAAATGAGGACATGGCTCTATGCAAGAGAAGAAGATAATTTCATGCGGATTCACTTTACAAGTTAGGGGTGCGGATAATTGATGCAAAGCTATTCATCTAAACACATGATTTACTTATGACACAAGCCTTCTTTAGGACTTCATTCCAACTTACTTGAGATTAAAACCTAAAGTATAGTGTGAAGAATTAGGGTTTACATATCAATCTTAATGAGGATACAAAGATCATTCAAATACATGAAGACATTTTAAGACATGATGAATCAATATCACTTAGTTCATTCAAATGGAAAATAGTAAAAAAAGAAGGAGGCTTTGCATACCATGATCTATTCAAAGCTCAAAAGAAAATAAGTTTGGGATTTAAAGTTCATTTTGGAAAAGAAGACTACTTGAATTTGTGGAAATTATCATTAGGACTCTAAACCATGCTTCAAACTTCATTATATCATCATTCCATCAAATACCATGTCAAGATCAAAGAGAACGAATTCAATATGAAAGAGAACACTTTGATTATAAGGTTTATCAATGAATCTTCAAAATGTTACATGGCCATCTATATCATGAACTATTACAAAGAGGAATTTCAAGTTCATGTACCAAATTCCACTTCATCACCATCACAAATTCAATTTACATCAAGAGTTATGAAAAAAATACATAAAACTTCATCCTAATGTTTAAACTTCATGCTTGAACCAATCTCTAATTCCCTTCATGCCATGACCGAACCTTGTTATCTTCAAGCCATGCTCCCCTGCTAATTCAATGCACATCACTAGTCCAACCCAAAACTGAACATATGCAGCCCTGCACCTATGCCTAAAACTATGTTAGTTTCTCTACAAAAAATAGAGAAATGCTTCAAAATAGGCCAGGCTTCCAAAACTAGAAAATTCAAAGAAGATATAGTCACCAAATAGAACTTCTAACAGCATATTAGTTCTTAATATTAGCAGAAGTTTCAGAACCAATAATTTCTAACCGATTTCTAGCTGAATCTAGTTCGTTGAAACTGATTCTCCAGTCCACAATTATCTTCATCCCTGCCATATTCATAAACACAATAAACAGATCAGTTCAACAGTCTGCAAGTTCAATAAAAAATAGCTTAACAGCATGCATCAAATAACCATATACAATCCAAATTGAACCCTGTATAATCAGAAATTAGCTTTCAGTCCTAACCGAAGCTCTTAATTGTTTTCTAACTGACTGACTGTAACAGAAAATAAATAAATAAAACTAATAAGTGTTATTTCTAAACCTTAACTAACTACATCACTTTAGCTTAACTAATTAACAAAACTTATAGGTCTTGACATTTTTCTTTAACTAACTTTCATAACAGTTCAAACAAAAAACCTAACTGAATAACAACCAACTTCTAGCATTAACTGATTCAAAAAAACTTAACTCTCCAACAGAGTAACAAAATCTCAACTGCTTTATAAGAGAAACATAAAAGGATTCTAGAAGGGGGGGAGGGTTATGTTTATTATTCAGTGATATTCATAATCTTTATTCAAGAAGAAAAAACTCTGAGAGGGGGGATTCATATAGAGAAAACAGAAACAATTTAGAAAAAATTTCTCAACCTCTTACACGGAAATTCACAGGGATTCATAACAAAAATCAGGGGAATATCAGGAGGCAAAAAAGAAAAGTTCACGGAATACTCACTTCTGAATCTCTCTGGGATCTTAGAAAGAATCCTCATCTTCATCTTCATCCTTCTTCATTCTTGAACCTGACTTCAAACTTCTTGAATATGCAACTTCAGTACAACTCATCTCCAACCGCAAGCTTTCGTTTCAGATCTCAACTTCAACACTTCTCTACTTCATAGAAACCTTCATCAATCTCCTCGATCTCAGATTAAGCGCCCCCTACTTCGTCTTCTCTGAACAACAATTGCTTCGATCAATAACAAATTGGTCTTTCATCGCCACACAACCGATTCGCCAACAAAAACTCAAAACAGCATAGAAAGAGTAGCAGATGAGAAGAGGAAAGAAGAAGAATAGCGGAGAAAAAGCATGCATATCCAGAGTAACATGAAGTACATACCTGAAGTCTCCAAACGTGTTGATCGTCGCCTTCTTTAGCTTCTATTCTGACTGTGCTGGTAATGTTCGAGATCCTTCAATCCTCTCTTCTTCGTGTCCGAAGCGGATAGTCTCACCTTATAGCTTACAAAAGAGAACCTCGTTGGATGCCTTTGATTACCTTGCAACATCACCGCAGAATTTGAGATTTCAACCCAGGTTTTGGTGAAATCTAGCATCGAATTCGGGTTTAGGGGACCGAAATAGGGTTAAGTTATTATTCTGTCTATCGGCGATTGGGGATGGTTCAAAAATGATCGACGACTGAGATGTGCTAGTATAGAAGCGGCGGAGAAAAATATAAGGGTGAGAGTGAGAATCAAATTCACAAGAAGAAGACCAAGGGTCACTCGCTCAACCTAATGTAAAACTGCATCGTTTTATGTTTTTCCTGTTAATGCATTATTTCATTTTTATTATTCCTTCATTCCTCTCAATTGTTGTTAGTAATAATAATAACGAGAGTGGAAATATAGAATTAGCGATGATAGGAGTGGGCTGACTTGAGCCATCTCCCTTTAAGCCCATCAGGGCCCTTTTTTTGTGAAGTTTGGAAGAATTGAAGAAAAAACTGGCATTTGGACTTCATGGTGATGGGCCTTGGCAATAGCTTTCTACATATACTCCCTGAATCCAGTTTGCACCCCTGTGTAGAGTTGTTTTTTTAGTTATTCTTTAGTTTTTTTTGTATATAATTGTTAGATGACATTTTTTTTTGTTAATAGAAATTAGAAAAAAATAAGAATAATAAAACAATAAAAATTGTTAATTGTTTCTTAAGAAATATAATAGAATTTTCCTAAGATTTTTTTTTTAGAATTTTGGTTAGAACTTTCTATTATGGTTTATGTTCGGTAATCATTTTGTTGTCGATATTTTGTGATTCACTTTCGCTTGTCGAGATTTTAGTCTTAGGCAAGTTTAGTGTATGATATACATACATGCTTAAATTTCCGATTGTGATTTATTTTCACATCGATGATGCTTCAACGCTTATTCTGAGCATTGGATTTATGACTCTTTTCTCTGTTTGCTTGGTGAAGCTTGCATGAAGTATTTTGGGTTTCTTTGCTTTGGTTGCTCTTTTTTGCAGACATTATTGTTTGTTTGGTATTATACTGCTTTTAAATTTTTTTCTCCATATTTTATTTCTTTCTAGATATCATGAGAAGTAAGAAATAAAGAGCGTGCGCTCGAAGTCGCTGTTTAAAAACCTGTAGCAGGCATTCCGCACTTCATTTACTATATGTGTCGTGTTGGTGTTTGTTTCATTGGTTGTTGATCGATGAGTCACTCAATTTAGAAATTGAGATCACGACGTCGCTCTCAGTGCCTGCTCCCTATAGGATTTTATCACTTTCCTTTATTTCTTGTTGATCGATGAGTCACTTAATGTAGAAATTGAGATCACAAATTATCTCTCATTGTACGTTCCCCATAGGATAGTTTTGTTAGGCTTTCGTTGGCATACTAACCTAGATAAGATCTCTCTAGGCGTTCTCTGTTGAGCTTATTGGTCTGCTTGCTTGATTTCATCTTTGTGTGCATGTTTCGAGATGATAAACCGTTACTATGCTCCTTTAGAACTTCTTGATTCATCTATAGATTATGAGTTGAGATAGACATTAGGACTGTTATCCAAGCATGTCAACTTAGGGTAGAGATTTCCCTTTAAAGATCAACTTTAGGACCAATCATTGTAGGATAACATTAGAGATAGATTTAGGTTAGTCTCTCTTTAGACTTTTCTTTCCCCTTTTGCATTTCCATTAAAACAAAAACTTCTTTTTCTTGCAAACTTCAAGACACTTAAAGATTACTGATGAGAGTCATACCTTTATTGAGCATGGGAAATGATAAGCGGGTTTCTTCTCGATCTTATTGTTCTTCCATTCTAAGCCTTGGTGTGGTTCATGTATCAAAGACTTATTTCATGAATAAGTAGAGAAATGGCTAATATCTCTCTCTTGAGATTAACTAGTTGTTATTTGTAGCAAAAACACCAACCAACACCAACTCTTTTGCCTTTGGGCTTTTCTTTCAAAATTCTTTCTAAAAGGACATGTTAAGTCACTTCTGTGCTGACGCATAAGTCTCCAAAGTTCGAGTTGTAGCAGAAGGCAAATTTAATATTTTTAATTAAAAAATACAAACAAACAAAATATGTGAGCCGAAATATGACTGCTCTGTTTCCTTAAAAGGGATACGTAGGCATTGGGGTAGGGCCCAAACGAGCATAACTTTTATTTTCCCTACATTATTTTCCGTTTTCTTTTCATGCATTCCCTCCTAGTTTATAACTCTTAAACATTAGATTGAACACACCCTTTAATTAGAACAACAAGAGTGCATCTCGTAGAGTACTACAAATGTGTGGGGTGCTAATACCTTCCCCTCACGTAATCGACTCCCTTACCCAATCTCTCGGTCGCAAGATCTTGGTTCCCCTTTAGGTTTTTATTCGATGATTTTCCTTTCCCTTTTGTGGGATAAATAAATACTCGGTAGCGACTTCATTGATTTTACTGCTATAGAGGGCATCTATAAACCCATCTCCTACGAATCTTCGTCATCTTCTCCAAATGGCATTTGTAAGCCCATTCTTGATCTCATCAACTAGCAGCGTTACTTCATGTATATGTGAGTGCAAATTTCTAGGCACTCTAGTGTTCAATCATCTTCCACCTTCAGATTACGAAAGGAAGGCAAGCCAATCTAAATCCTCATGTTTAAGAAGATTGAACAAGGGCAGCTATTGTACCCCAAAATTTTACCTCCTATTTTACTCAAGGCATGCTCATTGAGGTCCTTAATTGCTTAAGGTTGACCAAGAATTGGCCAGACAAATTCTCCTCCTAAGCAATGCATTTCAAACTAGGGTTTCACTTCTCACAAAGAATTTTGGGTTGCAAATACTTCAAGTGATTTCCATGGTCCATAACATGTCCTCAAGAATGTCCATGCCAAGTTTCATGCCTTGTATCACAAATTTGCTCAATCAATGGCTCAAATGTTTAAAAATCAACTATACTAGGTCAAAAGTCAACTTTGGCCAATATACAGTCAAACTTCAAGATTTTTTGTCAATATAAACATTTTGAAGTGATATCCATCATTTGATCAAGGGTTGATCATGATTCCCCAAGGAATGCTCTCAAATCATCAAGAATCCAAAAGTGCAAAATTAGGGTTTCATAGAGAAAGTCAACTGAACTTTGACCAGCCATAACTTTCACATGCTTCATCCATTTTTCCCCAACCAAATATAATTATGAACAAAATTCAATTCCCTACAACTTATCTTGTATCCTTAAGTTCAAGAAATGTATCATTTGGAAGATACAAGCTCATAAATTACAAGTTATTTTCAGAAAGTCAACAAAAGACACTTTTTGCCAAGATCATTTACATCAAGATAAATTTTCAAATGTAAAATTGATCAAAAGAGTGATTGAATGGGACATCTTGGGATTTCCAAAAAGTCCAAGATCATCTTCATTGGATAAAATTTGAGCAACTTATGGCTTGTACAAGTTAAGCAATTTTCAAGAAAATACATGAAGTCAACTTTGGGAAAATTCCACTTTTCAAGTTAGTGGGCCTAACTTTTAGGTCCTAAACATGTTCATGGCATGTCTAAGGACCTCTAAATTCTTTCTTACCTTGCCTGGCCATTTTTACATATTTTATTCATTTTTATCTTGTTTTATTCAAATAAATACAAAATAAATTGCATAAAATGTTTAAAAATGGATCATGGCATAATAGGCTGATGTATTGGGTTAGTCTTGGGCCCAAGAACTCGTGCTAAGTGTCCAGGTTCACTCAAGGATGGAAATGGCATGTTTATTCGCAAATATGGCATATTTTCAAATTGTAATCATAACTTTAAAACATGGTCTTAATGCTTGATTTCCTTCCCTTCCTGGTCACCTTCCCTCACTCCTCTATATCAACAACACTTCTACAAGCCCAAGACACACACACTGCCTCAGAAAAGCACACCAAAATTGCAAAATTCCACAAAGTTGTCAAATTCAAGACTGATATTCCAGCTTCCTTCGATCCAAACCAATACCATAGTCGTATTCATAAGATACCCAGGAACCTACTCCACCCATTCCTAAGGCGTGCAACACCCTAAAATCAGATATCCACGCTATAATACAGTGGGAGAATTGACTTGGTTATTTTGCGTTTTATCGCAATTGTTGCGGATAGCAAGAGTCGCCACTGACTTTTCTTTTATCCAATAAAGGAAAGGATGAAAAGAACAAGAAAGACCTTTGAGATTGTTTTCTTGAAATCGGGGGGTAGGTTATGAAAAGGGAAGGTCTTAGCACCCTTTTCATCCGTAGTTATCTACGAGATCTTAGTTGCTTGCTAGATCAGTTGCTTTTGTTTGAAAATGTGCTTTGTGGTGTGGGTTTTGAAAATATTTTAAAAAACGTCTTTCTAATGATTCTCCTCTCTATAAGAATGCGTACAAAGTGTTGGTTTTGAAAATAGTTCAAAGAGGTGTTTGTGGAAGATGTTTTTGAAATGGATTTTGAAAAGTTCCTTTGTAATGATTCTCGTCTCTATAAGAATGCGTACAAAGTGTTTTAAATTTTAAAATGTTTCAATTGAAAGTGTTGGTGTGAAAAGGGTTTTTTAGTTATGATCAAGAAAGCAACTACGAGCATCCTACCTACTCAAAAGGTCTTTGTTCTTTTCCTCCTCCTTTATATGTTTCTATCTTACCATTGATTGATAAGAAGCCCCGTCGTTGGATGTGAAGGGACGGACGTGGGTCGTTTGTATAGTCATAGAAGGAAACCTATGAGACGTTTTAGAAATTCTCATTAAGGGACTAGATCGTTTACCGAAGGCAACATCGAGGGACTATGATCTTTTATTGAGGGTCTTTGCTAAAACGTGTTGCACTCCAAAATTTACCCTCTTGATTTAGGCTTATGTTTCATCATGAACATTATAGTGCATTGCATTCATACATTGTGACAGGATCAAAGTACTTTGGTTACCAAGTTTTCCTCAAAGATTTGAAGGTTGATTATATGGACAAGTTGCTCAAGAAGAATCTTATCACCTAAACCTCTACATCTTTTGAGCTCAAATATTTTTGCATATCTCAAGATGTTTTTACCCATCTCTTTGGGATCATCAGCCAAATTAGGGT